CAACTCACCAAAAAAAACTGCCAGAAATCATTAATGTTACTGTTGTCCTCCTTTAAAAAATTTTCACTTCTGTTGATCAATCATCATTTCTTTATGGCCAAATTACTTTCAAGAACTTTGGATGCCACAAGAAAAAAAAACCTGTTAGTAAAAGCTCAGAAAAAAAAAAAAAAAAAAGAAGCACCAAGTGATGGAAGAAATATGGCAGCTGTTTGACCCAATTTACTACTATCTGTAAGCCATTTTTGAAGCTTTTAAAAACAATAAAGATTTTTTAGGAATTGTTTAAGAAATAAATTAAGACAATACTAACATATTAGAAGGTCACCATACAGGGAGAGCTATTGTTGAAAACAACAACAACAACAACAAAAATAAACATTTGAAAAAATGAAACTTTTCTTTTGTTGAACAAACATAACCTATTTTCTGAAAAAAATTTTCTCAAAGAAATTTTTTGGGGTTTTTACCTGCTGAAAGATTTATAAAAAGAACTACAGAAAATATATCACAACACAGCAGTTATATACAAATAGCTGTTCTATGAAAGGCAACAACAGACTTCAGTACTGTAACTAAAGTATCATAAAATGTAATCGAACATGTTATCTGTACCATTTATACAATAGCATTAAACAACGTGATGAAGATAAAAAGACTGACTGTTCAACAACCTCAGATATGAAATTCTTTAAAAGCAATGTTTTTTTCAGAACTCTAAAATTTGCATTAAGTAAGCCTAATCTGATACTCAAATTTTAATTCTTTTATTTGTTACAAGAAAATGAAAGAAAGTGAATAAACAGGGCAGAAAAGACTTAATGGTAACATCAACTTATGACCATCTCTTTCATTGCACAGTCACTAAAATAGGATAAAATGTGAAGAAAGTAAAGTGAAGGAAAAATTTTTGTGGATTAAATGGCATAAGACGTTGCTTAAAATAGTTTGATCTATTTTCCTAAAATTTTATTTCTCCTAAAAAACAAAAGGGTAGGACAGCGTTTACAAACACTGATCTTGACATCTGTACATAAAAGAGTTCTAATGGAAGAAAAAATTTCCAATTTTTTTAGTCTTTGGCGTAAAGGTACCAGCCAGTTGATGAGCGAAGAAGAATCAGTGGTATGTAACTGCGGGAAATGACCATTACAAGGGACTTTTTTATCTGTTCAAAAGTGCGTTTAACTGTGGTGCAATGACATTTAAATACAAATTTTTATGCTTCACTTCTTCAAGTGATACTGATCCGGAATAGTTGTAGGAAATGCATTTTATTTTTTTTTT